ACACGTGATAACACATTTTATCTTATATTTGCAAGCAAATGAACTTAAAGTTAATTCATGTTAATTTGACTAATATGACAAATTTCTCTTTTCAACTGTCACAGCTTAGTGTTGGACAACTAGAATAATGAAGTAGGATCATATGGTGAAAAGAACAGCTGACTAGGAATGAGGATATCTGGAGATTGGTCTCAGCTCTGTCTCCAAGCAGGTATATAACCCTTAAGCAAATCACTTAGTCATCCTGGTCTTTAATCTATGCATCTGTAAAGAGAATTGGCCTAGATGGAGTCTAAATGGTCACTTCAAGTTCTAAAAATACTATTGTTCCATGAACATCTACAATGTGTCAAGCCAAAAGTATAAGGCCAAATTCCTCCTTAATGATTCTAAGAGCACTATTTCCGCTGTGCATTATTTCAGAGCATCCCCCAAAACAAGCAATGAGCTACAAACATGGTTTGCTAATGTCACTATAGCTATATAAATGACGTAGTTTAGGTTGAAAAGAAAGTCATACTGTGGACCATAAGAAGTATATCAATTAGAGGGGCGCCTGGGTGGCTCAGTCGTTAAGTGTCTGCCTTCAGCTCAGGTCATGATCCCAGGGTCCTGGGATCAAGCCCCGCATTGGGCTCTCTGCTCAGCAGGAAGCCTGCTTCTCCCCTTCCCACTCCCGCTGCTTGTGTTCCCTCTCTCGCTGTGTCTCTCTCTGTCAAATAAATAAGTAAAATATTAAAAAAAAAAAAAAAGTATATCAATTAGAGCAAATCATGGAAAAGATGTCATTTTAAAAAGTATTAATAAGGGTGTCTGAGTGGCTCAGTTGGTTAAGCAGCTGACTCTTGATTTTGGATCAGGTCATGATCTCAGGGTCCTGGGATCAAGCCCCATGTCCGGGCTCTGCGCTTCAGTATTTTCCTTCTCCCTTTGCCCCTCCCCCCACTGCGCACTCTCTCTCACTTTCTCAAATAAATAAATAAACCTTTTTTAAAAAGGGCATTAATAAAAATTAGAGCAGGAAGAAGGCAGACTCCAAAACAAAAGATTTTAGAGGAAAAAGAGGACTTCATAGAATAAATGATGATAGAGAGTTTGAAAAATATTGAGAACAAGATAAAGGCAAATAATGCAAGAAAAAATGGTAGGCAATTTTTAATTTCAGAGAAAACAAAAAAGGAAATGCATAAAAGGAAATGCAATCATAATATATTACTCTTATGTAAACATTGGTTTTAAATTAACTAAAAAACAGAGCTAGGTAGATGAGAGAAAGAAGTTGGAGGAATATATAAGAACCAAGTTCTCATCTATCATAATAGGAAGTCATAATTTCTAAAGTATGCAGTATAAGCATATTATTTAAAAATATGGAGGTAAAAAAGGGAAATAACCAAATATCTGGCCTATTTGCACATTACTTTTTTATAACAAATGTGATTTATTTGTAGCTTGGTTTTACTTCATTATCAACATAAAATAATTGAATTATAATGGCCCATGTGGTACTTGTCTCCTACTCCTCAACCCCTATTTCCATAACACCTAATATATGACTGACCATCCAATATCTTTAAAAATTCTTGTTGGTGGAGTGGCTAATTAAAAATGGGGTGAAGGGGCACCTGGGTGGCTCAGTCGTTAAACGTCTGCCTTCAGCTCAGGTCATGATCCCTGGGGTTCTGGGATCGAGCCCCACATTGGGCTCCCTGCTTGGCGGGAAGCCTGCTTCTCCCTCTCCCACTCCCCCTGCTTGTGTTCCCTCTCTTGCTGTGTGTCTCTCTCTCAAATAAATAAATAAAATCTTTTAAAAAAATGGGGTGAAGATGTCTTGTTGTGGAGTTATAGAATTTTGCACTAGAAGCAGATTTAGAAATTATATAGTCCAGAGCTTCCCAAATTGGTGTTCCATGGAATACTGCTTCTTGTAATATTAATAGCATGCTGCAAAAAGTGTTTGGGGCTCAAATAAACTTGGGTAATCCCATGTTTAAAAAAATTAATCAGGTATCTTTACTGTAGGAATTCTTGGAGGCTTTATTGTTAATACACACTGGGAATCCCACAAAAGCAATTTATTATGTAGTATCTCTCAGACTCACTTGTTTCATGAATTAAACCCCTACTAATATCTCTAGTAATGAGTGGTTTCTGGAGCATTCTTTAGAAAACACTGATCTAGTCTACTACCCTCATTTTACAAATGGGGAAAGAGAGGCTCTCTAGAGCCTGTTCAGGTCTGGATGGCAGAGGAACTAGAAAGAAGGGCTTCAAGATTCTGGAGCACTTGAACAACTCTGGCCTATGTTTTCTCAGCCTTTCATCACGTATCTGAATTACTTCAAATATCTTTATTTGAACTTTACATATCTTTATTTTTTTTTTAAGATTTTATTTATTTATTTGACAGAGAGAAAGACAGCGAGAGAGGGAACACAAGCAGGGGGAGTGGGAGAGGGAGAAGCAGGCTTCCCGCCGAGCAGGGAGCCCGATGCGGGGCTCGATCCCAGGACCCTGGGATCATGACCTGAGCCGAAGGCAGACGCTTAACGACTGAGCCACCCAGGCGCCCCTGAACTTTACATATCTTTAAAGATTTTCTGATCCCTGGGTGCCTGGGTGGCTCAGTTGGTTAAGCGACTGCCTTCGGCTCAGGTCATGATCCTGGAGTCCCTGGATCAAGTCCCGCATCAGGCTCCCTGCTCAGCGGGGAGTCTGCTTCTCCCTCTGACTCTCCCCCGTCTCATGTGCTTTCTCTCTCATTCTCTCTCTCTCTCAAATAAATAAAATCTTAAAAAAAAAAAAAAAAAAGATTTTCTGATCCCTAAGGAACTTAGGAGGCAAACCCACGTGTCAGTTGGGGCTCAAGCCATAAAGTCTCAGGACAGGAGCTAAAGAAAGTCCCAACAGACATTGAATACTGAGTTCCGGTAGCAAAGTAACCCCAAATTAAGCAATGGCAATGTGAATAGACCACTCACATTTGTACAGTGTTTTCCAATAATAAATGCTTTCACAACATCATCTCATTTGATTCTCATAACAATCTAATGAGAAAGGACAATGGTGAAATTCTTATCTCCATTTTATGGAAGAGGAAATGGACTCTCAGAGAGTTAAATGCCTTGCCTGTGTTATATAGCAAGTGAATGGCAGAGTTGGGCTCACATTAGGGCTCTTATCAATGTATCATACAAACTGGGCAAATTTTGACTGAGTACCAATTAACTCTTCCATGAAACATCCAAGCTGCTCCTACTGGCTCACTTAAAAACAAACAGATCAATTCTCAAAGTGCTCATGGGTGGTGGCAGAAACAACCCAATTACTGGAACTTCAAGGTCCTATTTGGGTTCAGTACAGTAATACCACCTATAAGCTATGTTGCTAGAAGGAGGAGGTCTTAAAAAGTTCCCACTGTAAGGGGCACCTGGATGGCTCGGTAGGTTAAGCGGCTGACTCTTGATATCAGGTCCTGGTCTCGGGGTCATGAGTTCAAGCCCCATGTTAGGCTCTGCCAGCGTAGAGCCCACTTAAAAAAAAAGCTGGGGTACCTGGGTGACTCAGTCGGTTTAGCACCTGACTCTTGGTTTCGGATCAAGTCATGACCTCAGGGTTGTGAGATCGAGCCCTGCATCAGGCTCCATGCTCAGCACAGAGTCTGCTTAAGTTTCTCCCTCTCTCTCTGCCCAGCCCCCACTACTCGCCCCCATGCTCTCTCTGTGTCTCTCAAATAAATAAATAAATCTTAAAAAAAAACTTCCACTAGGGAGGCAGCATATCTAGTGTTACCAACAAGGAGTCAAATAGACTTTGGTTTGAATGCTGGCTCTACCACTTACTTACCCTATGACTTTATTCACTATTGTAACTCTCTGTGCTTCACTTCTTCACCTATATTGCAAAGCTACTGAAAAGCTAATGTAAAGAATTAGAGGGATAACACAGTGTCACAGTTATGAGTGTAAACTCTGTAACTGTACTACCTGGGTTTGAATCTCAGCCCTACTTCTCATTAGCTGTATGGCTTCAGATAAGTCACTTAACATCTTAGAACTTGTTTTCACACATGTAAACTGAGGAAAACAGTGCATTCTCGGTTGTATCAAATGAGATATTTGTTAAGCATTTGAGCACAGTGTCTGACACTACCGGGAAATGTCATCAAAAAGAAGTGACCACTGATTTACCTGACTAACCCATAAGCTGGATCCTGGCATTAGGAGACTTCTTACCCCCTTCCATGTCCTTGGAATGTGGGTTCCATTTGCCTTTCCTGCTCCCAGAGGCTACTCCAAGGACATAGCCTTGCAATGTGGTGATGTGGTATTGAAAACACCTGCACAGTACTGAGCCCGCTTAGGACCTCTTTACAAACTTTTAAGATTTGGAGGGCAAGTGCAGTGATCCATTCATTTTGCTGCTACCCAAAACAAGCTTTGTATGTAAGTTCTCTTTGCTTATTAAAACTGCCACCTACCAACCTGGAGTGGCCTGCCACTTTCTTCAGTCTCTCCCTGCCCTCAGTTATGCGAGCCGGTTTCAAATTACACCTGGGAAACTCCAGAAAGGACTGTGAACCAACAGGTTCTATAGCTCAAAGGTAACAATGACAACAGTGGTCCTAGCAGTGAAAAACTCAATAACCACTTCGTCCCAAAGCAAAATGAGAAAGAATGCTACACTCGGTCCTATTTGCTTCCACTTACCCTCTCCCCTCTTTTCTCTGCAACTACAAGCCAAGAATACTAGACTAGAAATCAGGACACTTGGCTCTGAATGTCACACTAGTTAAATGATTTTAGGGAAGTCATTTCACTCACTTGAGGTATTTTTTCCTCATCTGAGATTAAATTAATGATACTTTATTTACTCTGCCGGGTTGTTTTAAGCATCAAATGAGTTAATAGATTTTAAAGTACTTTGTGAACTATGAAACACTATATAAATGTGAGGGGTAACTTTTTATCTGTCATAGACTTCAAGATAGATGTTTTTACCAGTAAAAAGCAACTTTATCTCCAAGTTTTTTCTCGTGGACAATTCGATCCAGTACGTTGTAGCAGATGTTAGTAGTTGCTCCTTTCATCCACTCGATGAAGATTTTCCCTTTATTCACATCAAAATTGTACTGGAGGAATGGGCCAGGACATGAGGTCTTCCAGTAAAATTCCTTGGCAATGTCTCCCCAAAACTCTGCAACAGAAAGGGAAGCCCAGACATCACTAAGATTCTCAGACATATTTATCCTCAAATAGCTTACCAGTCTATGACAGGAACAAGTTAACTTCTCTGCCCTGTACTCTAGGACCCACTACCTAGATTCCTCCTCTACCTGTCTAATCTTATCACCTACTACTTTCCTAACCCACCTTCTATTCCCATGAACTGAATCTTGACTCAAATTTCTTCCTTCCCTCCTGAAAACTGCCATTCCATTTTTCATCATCTATTCAAATCATAGCCACCCAGTGCTATCACAATGCTTAGCATATTGTGGTCAATCAGTAAATTTTTTAACAAATTAGTTAGTAAAAGGAAGAAATCCTTTACCCACAGAGTCTTCCAATATACATAATATCTTTCTCTTAATTTGTTCATTCACTCTCGGCAATGATTTAATGAGTACCTCTTTCTCCTACTACATCTTGCCCAAGTGTTGCTTGCTATGTGCCAAATGTCACTTTAAGCTCTTTATATGTATTATCTCATTTAGTCTTTTCTTTAAAAAAGATTTTATTTATTTATTTGACAGAGAGAGACACAGCAAGAAAGGGAACACAAAGGGAGTGGGAGAGAGAGAAGCAGGCTTCCCGCCGAGCAGGGAGCCCAATGTGGGGCTCAATCCCAGGACCCTGGGATCATGACCTGAGCCGAAGGCAGACGCTTAACAACTGAGCCACCCAGGCGCTCCTATCTCATTTAGTCTTTACCATAACCATGAGAGGTAGGCTTCATTTTCATTCTCATTTCGTTGATTTAAAAAGCAAGGCTCAGAGAAGTTAAATAACTTGCCCTAGGTTATACAGTTACTAAGTAAAGATGTGAACTGCCCTGAGGAAGACATTTTTGCTAAAATCTAAAAGATGAGTAAGAGTTTTTCTCCACTTCCCCACCAGGAACAGAGTATCATGGGATAGAAAGGAACCGAGGGTATGTGTTAAGAGGAACTCCTTGAGGCTGAAGTACTAAGAATAAGAGAAAGAATAGCAGGAATTGGTACATAAATTGGGCAGATCACGCAATCCTTCTGGGCATGATAAGGAATTTGATATTTATCCTAAGAGGAATGGAAAGTCATTGTAGGATTTCAAGGAGAGGGACATGATCAGATTAATAATCTTAAAATATTTGCCTGGCTATTCTAGAGAAAATGTATTCAACAGGTAAAACATGTAATTGCAGAGCACTTAGGATATTGTCAATACAGGATCAGGAGCTAGAAGGGAAGGGAGAGACACACGTAGAATCATAACAATGAAAGGAACTTTAGAGATTATCACCCCTTCATTTCACCAATAACAAACCAAATTCACAAAGGTAAAGTGACTTGCTCAAGGTTATATGATTCAGTTTATACAATAGTTGGAAAGATAAGACTAACACGTGAAATACTTTAGAATGTGCAACACAGAATACAGTTGAAAGCTAAATCACATGGTGTACAACTTGCAATCAATTAAGAAATCCAAATTAAGTCATTCCCAAGGTGCCATTATATACCTATAAAACTAACAAAGATTAAAAAATAAAATGATAAATCCAGTGCGATAGTGGTACTGTAAAAGAGATATTCTTATATGACAATGGCATTGTAAGAAATTGTCATAATCTTACTGGATAGCAGGGTGATGACTGACGAGAGCCATAAAATTTTTTATACCCTTCATCTGCTAACTCAATTTTGGGGAACATACTATAAGAAAAAAATTCCAAAGAAAAAATGAAGTGATTGCGAAAGAGATATTTATAGTAACACTATTTATAACAGTGAAATTGGAAACAACCCAAGAGCCCAACAATTAAAAAAAAAAAAACCTGATGAAAACTAGTAATACTAGTAGTAATACAAAAGAATACTAAATGGCCACTAAAGAGAGAGCAAATGGTAAGTGGCATTTCAGTGAATGCCATTCCTGTACTAGGCACTCACTGAATCTTTTTGTCAAAAAGATTTTATTTTTTTTATTTTTATTTTTTTTAAACTAGGGTTACTTTATTTTTTTAAAAGATTTTATTTATTTATTTGACAGAGAGATAGAGAGTACAAGTGGGCAGAGTGGCAGGCAGAGGGAGAGGAAGAAGCAGGCTCTCCACCAAGCAGGGAGCCAGACGTGGGGCTCGATCCCAGGACCCCAGGATCATGACCTGAGCCGAAGGCAGCCGCTTAACCGACAGCCACCCAGGCGCCCCAAAAAGATTTTATTTTTAAGTAATCTCTACATGCAAGGTGGGTCTCGAACTCAAAACACCGAGATCAAGAGTCACATGCTCTATTGACTGAGCCAGCCAGATGCTCCTCATTGAATCTTTTTTTTCATATTAAAACACTCAAAATTGAAGTATTTTTATTTTATGCACAATGAGTTAACATTAAAGTAGGTATCCTGGATATCTGCAGTTAAGGTAGGTATCTTGAATGACCCATTCAAAGAAGCTTACTTAATCCAACTTAATGAAGCCTATATCGATACTTCATGTACTGACGGGAACACTGCCCATATTGAGGTTGTATTGCCCAATCAGACCGTGCTGTTTTCAGCATAGGCAGCAAGGAGAACCCTGGCCAAACTTTCTAAGATGGCTCCAGGAGAGCTGCTGGGACCCATCTTGCTCTCTCAGATGCAATGAGGCAAAGGGCCTCATTAAATTTTTATACGGCCCTATGAAGTACACATTAATTATCCTAATTTTATAGATAAGAAAACTAAAGCTCAGGAAACAGAGGAAACTCTCCCAAGGACCACACAGCTAGAAACCAGTATACAAAATCACATCTGTTGTTACAACTACATCGAGTACATGTATATACTCAAAAATATTTTTAAGTGATAAGAGTAGGCATAGATTATGTAAAAGTATTTATGAATCACATTTATATGTGTCAATAAGGATGAAGAAAACTGAGTTTAATGATCGCTTAGTTTTGTTCTGTTTTGGTAGGGGTGTTGAAATCTGGATGTTTTGTTGACACACATTCTAAGTACAAAAGAAGTTCAGAAGATTAAAAGATGAGCATGGACTGGATGATCAGGGAATGCTGTGTGGAACTGGTGGAGTTTGACCAGGTAGAGAGGAGCAGAAGGAAATGGGCAAAGGCAAGGAGATGGGAAAGAAACCTTTGTGTATCCCGTATATCAATGAGAATGACTTGTCTAGAATAAAGGGTATGGTAGGGAATAGCGGGAGTTAAGAACAGAGAGGTGGGGTGGAGCTAGTTATACAGACCTTGAAAGAAAGGCAAAATTTTAATTTGAAATTGGAGGAAATAGAGAACTATTGGAAGTTTTTGAAGTGACATATGAAAGCAGTGTTTCCACGATATCAATCTAATAGTGTTTATTTTAGATAACTCTATGAGAGAGATTGAAGGTGGGTGAGACCACAGGACAGGACAATCAATTAGGAGGCTGCTTCCTTGAATTAAAAGGTTCTGTGGGAATGGAAGGAAAAGTAATCAGAGACATTTTGAAAGAGTATTTAACAGAATTTGGTGAAAGACAGACTGTGGGGTCAAGGAAGAGGAAGAGTATAGCTATCAGGAGTATAGATTCTGTGGTCAAGACTACCTTAGTTCAAATCCCAGATCCACCGCTTTGTGGCTTTGTGACCTCGTACAAGTTAGTTAACCTCCCTACGCTTCAGTTTTCTTTGTATAATGGGGATAACAGTCTCTACATCAAATCAAACAGGATTTGTGCTCAGTAAGTGATAAATAATCTTAAATGAGATAGATAGATAGAAAAGATCTATCTATGGTTGACAGATCTTATTAGAGGAGAGGATGATGAAAGAGATTTAGTTTGGGATACTGCCATTGACAGGGATTAGAAAATTAAGGGGAGGGCAGGTTTGGGAGGGAAAATTGGTAAATCCCAGTCACACTCATGTTAAATATGGTAAAACATCAAGGTGTGTGAATAAAATGGTCTACAGACCTATGAAATTTGGGCCCAGGGCGTAAGTGGGTCCTGGGCCCAGGGCTAAGTATACAGACGTTATTACTGTAGAATTAGATGTAAAACAGATGAACTCACGATGGGGAAAAATATAGAGAAGGAAGAGAAAAGAAAACAGGTCTGAGGATTCAAACTTGGACACTGCCTGTAACAATAAACCACTCTACACTTGACTCAATCCTGTCTTGCATTACTTAGTAATCACTTTGTCAATGTTGTTCTTATTGTTATCAAACCAACCACCATTTATTGAATGCCTATTGTGCATCAGGTACTCTACAATGCACACTTATCACCTGCTTTGGACCTCAAACAAACCTAGAAGCAAGTATTATTAGCTGTATCTTACAGATGAAGAAAAGGAATCTCAGACAGATTTAAAACTCTGCTTAAGACGGTGCAGTGAATGAGTGGTAGAGCCAGGGTCTAAATCTAGATTTTTCTGGGTTTGATTCATTGCCCATGCTTATCCCACTGCCAAACATAATGCTGCCTCCCAACTCAGGTACAGTTTTGACCCGTTATGCAGACGGAGGACAAGAGAAAAGAATTTTCCTTACACATTATTAAAGACACGGGCCTATCAATCAGAATTTCTGAGTTATCACAATCCCAGTCTAACTTTGTTTTTTTAAAACGTGGCATTTTAGTGACTTCCACTGGGATTTCTGAAACATGAAAAAGAGATCTGGAACTCCGTTACTAATTTGGGGGACTGCAGGATGGGAACCAGACCGGTTACTGAGCCTCAACAGTGGAGACTAAGTCACAAGGTAAAAGGTGTCAGGAGGCAACGGCTGACTTGGCGCGAAAGGGAGCAAAGTTTTATGGCTCTCCTCCCCTCAAAGCGCCCCTTCACCTCTGAGAACCCCTCTTTTCACATGAGGAATTCTCCTTTTCTCATGGAACTTTCACTATCCTTAAGGAAGCCCCATCTCCTCACGAAACCCCCACGTCGCCGAGGAACTCTCCCAACTCCTAGGGAACGCTCATCTCCACACACAACCCCCCTTCTCCCCATAGAACCCCCATATTCTCCCGGAACTCCTTTTCCATCTCCTCCAAGAACCTCCCCATCTCTTCACAGACCCTTCAACCTCCCAAGGGAAACCCCAACTCCGCCAAGGAACCCAGATCTCCTCACGAAACCCTCGTTCCCCACGCCGCGCGCCCAATTCCTCACTCGTCTGGAAACCCCCACTTCTCTCTTCATTGACCCCGCCCAGGGCCGCCCGCGCCGGCCTCACCTCGCGGCTGCTCCAGGGAGCGCCGGTGCAGCTCGCGGTAGCGCTGCAGCGACCGGACGTGCGCGGAACGGCTGACCTCGGGTGGCGGAGACCAACTCCGCACCCGGTTCTGGGCTACAGCCTCCTCCCGCTCCGCGCTCCTGCTGCCGCTTCGGCCCCGCTCCCCCGGAAGCCCCATCGCGTCAAGTTCCGAGCGCTGTAGGAACCTTCACTGTCGCTCCGGGCGTCCAGGCGGGGAAAACAGGCTGGCCGAGGGGCGGGGCCTTACGGGAGGAGGAGACACAGGGCGGGAGGAGGCGTGGCGTAGGCAGAGGCGGCGGTGAACGGCCCGGAGGGCGGAGCCACGCCCGATGGGAGCGGGACCAGGGTTAGCAAAGGCAGGGAAAAGTCGAGTACTGCTTGAGGGTTGGGGGCGGAGCTGACTGCGGAAGGGGTGGGGCCGTAGAGAGCAGAAGGGGCGGGGCCGGGCGTGACAAGAGAGGATCGACTCTTGGAGGGGAGGGGCCAGGCGTGACAGTAGAGGAGGTGGGCCCTGTCATGGAGTGACGGGGAGTGGCGAGGATCGATGTGACAGGAGAGGAGGCTGGATCATGGAGTGACCGTGGTCGGGTGGGGTCTTGGCGTGACAGATGAGAAGTTGGGTTAGGGCGGGGCTCGAGCGGGAAAGAACTGGGCAACCGAGAGGAGTTGGATCAGGCCCATAACGGAGCCGCCCGTGATCTGATTGCACAAGCCTGTCACCCCACTGAGTTGGAAAGCCAGGTGGAGTAGGGTCCTTTGTGACACCCTTCCCCTCAGAACTATTCCCCAATTCTGAGTAAACCCCTCCCTTCTGTCCCCAGGAAAAACTCCTCCCACGACGCTGAGGGCACGGCCTGGGGACAGGATGCCCTCTCTGCTAACCTTGGGACCAGCTCAGATTTTCTCCCACCCCTGAAGATATGTCTTCACTCTCCCTACCTCCACAAATTTCCATCCAGATCTATAGTACAAGACTCCAGTGAAGACTAGGAGGCCCATCAGGTCTTTGCTAATAAACCCACCTCCTCATTACACAAATGGTAAACTCAGGGAAAGGGAAGAATTTGTGCAAGGTCACAGAGAAAATAACAACCAGGTTAGGGCCAAACCTAGGTCTCCTGACTCTCCTTCATCAGACTGAAGGTAACATTTGTAAAATACTAAAGTCTATGCAAAATAGGAAAAATTGCTCACACCCTTCTTTCCTTCACAATCTCTTGATTTCACCAAGAAACCCCTCTCACCTGCCACAACTGGGTTCAATTACTTCTGGCTTCCCTCCAGCCCTTCCACTCTAGAAAGGAGAGGCCAGGAAGGACCCTCCATCTCCCACTTGCACTTACTACCAAGAAGGGCCCACCCACCCCCATTAATTCACAGAATAGGCTATCAAAGCAGGAAATCTCCTTAGATAGCTAACTCCAAGAGTGATTCTGAGGGTCAAAGCAGGCAGTCCCCACCTCCTGAAGCCTACACAGGGCTTGTGACCCCATCTGGCCCAGGCTTTCTTCCCACCTTCTCCCTTGTTCTTTGTGCAGCTAACCACAAGCCCAGCACACCCTAAACTGAAAAAACAAAAAAAAACTCTCCATGGTCAAACCTATTATCCAGAGCCTACCCAATCCTAAAGGGAGAGTCTCAGGGCTCTGAAGGAGTACAGACCTCATGGAGTGGGCATGGACCCCACTGAGGAGACAGATATTTCATCAAGAAGGTATTAACTGCACTGAAGGGGCACACACTATACTGAAGGTATTCCATTAAGGGAGCTCCATTAAGGGAGCGCAGATCTTGCTGAGGGATCTCAGATCTCAATGAAGGGCTGTGGACCCTGCTAATAGGACATAACTGACATTGAAAGTCTCTGATTCTACTGAGGGGACATGGACTTCCTCCTAAGAGATACAGAAGATATAGACTTTACTAAAGAGACATGGACCCCACTGAGAGGACTCAAACCCCACACAGGGGCCTCTCACTACACTGAGGAAATGGACACCACCGAAGGAGCACTGACCTCACTTAGTGGAGACAGGCCCTACATGTATTGGGGGGGGGGGTCAGACTTCACTGAAGCATAACAAGCCCTACAGACCTCACTGAGGAGATAGGAACCTCTCTGTAGGGAGGAAGGCACAGGCAATGTAGCTGTTCCCAGCCTGACAGTCCCTGAGTAGGGAAGGCTGGGGAGGCTTATGGGCATCAGATATTCAAGCTGCAGATCAAGAATTCTTTTCCGGAGGGAGTAGCCCTGGAATCAGGAGGTAGCAGGGAAAGTAGTGGGAAGATGTGTCCTGGTGGATAACAGCCTGAAACCAGACAGTCATTCTCCTCCCTTTCCTCCCCTCCTCAGGCCCCAGCTCTGGGCAGCCCTCTCCTCCCTCTCTTCTCTCCCCAAGCCCTCTCCTGAGTCCTAAAGCTGTTCTCAATGCACTGATGCCTCCTGCTGTCTACAGGTGGCACTGCAGCTGCTGGGCCCATAATAGATTTTCTTTTCTTCCTTTTTTTTTTTTGTTCTATTAATCACCATACATTATAACATTAGTTTTTGATGTAGTGTTCCATGATTCATTGTTTGCGTATAACACCCAGTGCTCCATGCAGTACATGCCCTCTTTAATACCCATCACCGGGCTAACCCATCCCCCCACGCCCCTCCCCTCTAGAACCCTCAGTTTGTTTCTGAGTCCATAGTCTCTCATGGTTCATCTCCCCCTTTAATTTCCCCCTCTTCATTCTTCCCTTCCTGCTATCTTCTTCTTCTTCTTCTTCTTTTTGTTAACATATAATGTATTATTTGTTTCAGAGGTACAGGTCTGTGATTCAACAGTCTTACATAATTCACAGCGCTCACCATAGCACATACCCTCCCCAATGTCTTTCACCCAGCCACCCCATCCCTCCCACCCTCCACCACTACAGCAACCCTCAGTTTGTTTCCTGAGATTAAGAATTCCTCATATCAGTGAGGTAATAACAGGTTTTCAAACAGTCCTGGTTATTACCTCTGAGCCTGGATCCTTGGTTTGGGGAAGGAGAGGATGTGAGCCCAGGGGCTTGACCAGTCCCCTCCCTCTGCCTGTGGACTATGCAATAGAAATTTGGGCAAGAGGCCTCACAAGAGAGGGAGCCCCCCCATCCTTAGAGATGGGGTAGTAATGCAAAGTATAGTGTAGTTGGAATTCCTCAGGGTGGGAAGAGAATGGATTGGGCTGGATGAGATGAGAACTCATGAGATTAAGGAAATAATAATAACAATAATAATAATTATGGCATTTATTAAGTAGGTGCCACATCCTATACTAAGAACTTTCCAACATGTTATTTAATCTTTGCAACTATCTGAAATGAATACTATTATTTTCTCCATTTTACAGATGAGGAAACTGATACTCAAGGAGATTAAATGTCTTGCCTAATATCACACAGTTTGTAAGTGGTAGCTGAGGGAATGGAAACCAGACACCTAGACTACAGAGACCCATTCCTCCCCCATTTATCACTCCCCCCAACACACTCCACCCCACTCTTGCCATACCACAACCACCGTTATTTCTCTCTCCAAGCGTCCTTTCCGGAACCACATCAAAACCTTTTAAAATGATGGTAAATATCCAGATTCCAGAGACCCCATCCCAGCCTATAAATCATGATCTCTAGAGTGGAATCTGGGGATCTGATTTTAAAGATCCTGACACAAACTCAAGTTTGGACTCGCTGTCCCCTATGCTGATAGGTCAGGGGTCCCAGAAGGGGTTGATTGAAAGAGGAATCTGAGAAGTGTTGGAGGTCGGGAGAGAGATCTGATGTCCGAGGAGAGACATCCAAAGAGGTGTCTCTAATTTTTAGAGACAGCAGACTGAAGAGACAGCAGAGACAGAGACTGAAGAAGCCGTCTGGGGATGAAGCAGGGGTGGGACTAGGGGTGCGTCTGAAGGCGGGGTCTCTTGAAAGAGGGCTCTGGGTTCGGAGGAGGAGTCTGAGATCAGAGAAGGATCTAGGAGTCCAAAGAGGGGTCTGGGGTCCGAGCCCAAGTTTGCGGTCCGAGTTTGGGATCAGAGACAGGATCGGGGGTCGAGGCCAGGTTTGCGGTCAGTGGAAGGGTCTGTGGGCTGAGCAGAGGGTCTGAGGTCTGAGGAGGATTCTAGCCCAAACTGGAAGGAGGATGGGTTTTGGCCCCCGGGCTGCATAAGCTGTCCCAAGCCACTCCGGTCGCGCTCGCAGCCCTCTTCTCCACCCCTCCCCCCAGCCTCCGCGCGCTCTCCAGGACCCGTCCTCCAGGTCTCCATCCACACGGCACACCGCCCACCTGCCGGTCCACTGCAGGCTGACAGCGCTAGGGGGAGGGGTGTTCAGTCAGAGCCCGACACCCGCGGGGGTTGTGGTGAGGCGCCCCCTCCTGGCGGCCCAGGAGCTCAGGCCCCGCCCTCCACCCACCCCCCGCCCCCGCCGCACCACTTCCGGCAGGCGCTGCGTTGCTGGGGGGCGCGGGTGAGGATGGCGGCGGAGAACGAGGCCAGTCAGGAGAGCGCCCTGGGCGCCTACTCGCCGGTGGACTACATGAGCATCACCAGCTTCCCGAGGCTGCCGGAGGACGAGCCGGCGCCCGCGGCCCCTCTGAGGGGCCGCAAGGACGAGGACGCCTTCCTGGGAGACCCCGATACCGGTGAGGCCCGCTGGCCCGGTCCCTGACCCCTAGGACGTCCCCGGTCCTCCTTCATCTGCGCGGAGCATCACCGCCGGTTTCCATCTCCCTAATTCATCCCCTTCCTCCTGGACCTCTTCCTTCTCCCTTGTCTCCGTTAGTTATCTAGTGGGGATGGAGATGCATTTCTGCCGTAGAGGCTTAGAATGCGACAAGGGAGAACGATGCCAGGAACTGCAGCAGCAGGGGTTGGGGTTACCTCTTGGGAAGAGCCAACTAATAAGGAAGGAAGGAATGTTGGAGGGGAGATCCTAAGGAACAGCTGTGATCACCCAGAAGAGGCCGTCCGTTAGTCACAAAGAATAGGATAGGAGAAACCAAGTCAGACTGCAGCAGGATGGGTAGAGGCTAGGTCTTGAGAAGAACTTCCCCACAGCCAAGGATTGTGGGAAGGAGAGACCTTAGGGAGAAGCTGAGAATCTCTTCACGTTCCGGGAGGGATAAAGAGTATGATTTCCGTCTGTCTGTGAGTGGCAGATATTGGGAGACAGGGGGATGGACTGCATGACCTCTCAGAGTCCTTGGGGACCAGAGTGCCTTCACTGCCCTGTGGATTACCTCACCCCTCCTGGAGCCATGGATCAGGCCAGGATGTTAGTAAGGTACCCTGCCCCCTAGGAAGCAGGCTCCAGAATTTTACTGTGTTCTCAACCTTTGAAGGGACTGCAAGGGGTGGGAGTAGGGAGCGGGGAGACAGGGCTTGGGGGAGACCTGAGGGCCAAGAGCTCTCTGAGCATTTCTTCCCTAGGGCTCTCCCTCCTATCCATGTGGCCCAGCTCTATCCTCCTCTCCATTCTTCATCCTCCATCCCCCATCCCTCTTCCCTCAACGTCACTTCCTGGCATTAGAGCATCCTTCTCTTCACTCTTCCTCCCAGTGCCTGCACTTGAGCCCTCTTCCTTACCAGCCTGGCAGATTCTGCTTCTCTGATCCAGCCTTCTCTAGCTTGGCCCTTCTGTAGCTGTTCCCAGCCTGACAGCCAAAACTCTTTCCCCCTCTACAACTTTCCAGTCATCTGGCCCTTACTAGCAGCCCCTGCCAACCTAATTAGACTGTACCCTACCTGGAGGGAGGAGTAGGAAGGCTGGGGAGGCTTATGGGCATCAGATATTCAAGCTGCAGATCAAGAATTCTTTTCCGGAGGGAGTAGCCCTGGAATCAGGAGGTAGCAGGGAAAGTAGTGGGAAGATGTGTCCTGGTGGATAACAGCCTGAAACCAGGTCCTTTATTCAGGGATCAGGAATGCTACTTCTGGTTCCAGCACTGTCTTGACTCTCTGTATGACAGCGGACACATCTATCCTGACCTGGGCCTCAGGTTCCTCTTCCAGCTCAACTAAGAATGCCCATCTCTCCTAACCTAGAGATTGGAAGCCCCTGACATGTTTTCTCCTGGCTCCCTGTAAATGTCTTAGCGTTTATCAAGTTCTGTGATTATTTGAGCAAACTTCATGTCTGTAAACCCTGTGAGAGGGCAGGATTGTGACTGTTTTGTTCACCGTCCTTTCTCCAGCATCCAATACAGTGCTAAGCGCTCAATTAAAATTGTTGAATAAATAAATGATGGGAGAGATCTCAGGATGAAAGAATAGCAGGGGAGGGAGTTCTTAAGCCTCAGGGTGTACCTTGGGGAGTTAAGACAGGTTCTGCTCTATTCTGTACAAAAATCCAGCAGGGACCCTTGTCACCTGAGTTTCTGGGAATCTGTACCTTAAGTCACAGTTGTGCATTAATGTTCCAAGGGCCCTTAACATCATACCTATGAAGTCATTTTGATGCTATGTCTCAAAGCACTACTTCTAAGCCCCAAGGCTCCCTTAGCCAGCTGGACTAGCCTATTGGCTAACATGATCTCCTATATTCTCAACCTGGAGGTGCCACTTACTAGCGCTGCCATCCTCTTATCCAGGACCTTGGCTGTGCCCAGCTAGCCTCTAGCCTGCCACTCCCCAGAACCAAGTGCCAAGTACCCCACAGCAGACCCTCTGGAAAACGGTGACCACTCCAAGGTTGGGGAGATTCTTGATTCTCTTCTGAGATCCAAGCCCATGGGTTCCTCTCTGTCCCAGGCATCGGCCTCTAGATGTCCTGCAAGGGCCTTACCTTCAGGATGTACTATGCTGAATTCATCCTCTCATCCCCATACCTGCCCTTCCCCCAATGTCATTCTCAGTTAATGGCACTGCCACTCATCCAGTCTGCAAGGTAGAAGCTCAGGAGCTACCCATGACCTCCTTCCTCTTACTTCCAAAGGTGATCAGGTGCTCTCTGTCCTCCTAAGTATCTTGCGATCCATCTCATCATCCCTGCTATCACCACTGGAGACAAAGCCCCCATCCTCTCTTATCTGTATTACCCATAGGCTTCTAGCTACTCCCTGTCCCCTGCCCCACCAACCCCAATCCAACTACCACCCTGAACTTCTGATCATGTCGTTCCTTGGTTCAAAAATCTTTAATGATTCTGCCCTTAAAGGAATAAGCAAGCCAGGGATGACTTCAGTTTCCAGCCAAGATCTCTCTCCTGATCTCTAGACTTGCCAAGTCAACTCTGTTCGGGATTCTTTTGTCATAAACTCAGTTAAAACTGAGCTAATCATAAAAGAGAATTTTATTGGGTAGCATAACTGAAAAATTCAGGGATGTGGGTCCTCAGGCATAGCTAGATCAAGGTACCTAAAAAGGAATTGGCTTTTGTCTTTTGCTTTGCCTTCCTTTTTATGATCTTCATCTTCAGATAGCCTCTCATTCTGTGGGGGCAAGATGCCCCCAGTAGCAACAGGTTTACACCTTACCATTTTAGCAATCTAGACAGAAAGAAAGCCTTTCTCTTTCCCAATAGTTCCAGCAATAGAACTAAGTTTGAGTCTCATTGACCTGGTGCTGGTCACATACCTGTTGCTGAACCAGTCACTGTAGAGATACCTGTTCTGAAGGGCTAGGCCTGGGCGCCCGGGTGGCTCAGTCCGTTAAGTGTCTGCCTTCAGCTCAGGTCATGATCTCAGGGTCCTGGGATTGAGCCCTGCTTCAGGCTTCCAGCACAGTGGGGAATCTGCTTCTCCCTCTGCCCCTCCCTCCTGCTCCTGCGTGCTTGCTCGCTCTCTCTCGCAAAAATAAATAAATAAAAATCTAAAAAAAAAAAAAAAAAATGAGGGACTAGGCCTAGGTCCTATACTCAGTCTGGTCAGGAATGAGAGAATGAGAAATGAGAGAGAAGAGATGGTGTTTTGAAATGGAAAATTGTCTGGAAATGGCATCCAAGCAGATAAAAATCAGATACATACTAGGCCAGTTGCTTCCAGACAACTCCTGTTGGCGTCCCACAAATTTAGAATTACCAAAATTAAACTCATTATCTTTCTCCCAAAAGACTTGTTTCTTCCAATTCCAAACTAACCTTTTCCCAGTGTCCTATTGTTGCTCTTACATATCAGTAAAATCAATGGTATTATTGCCCTAGTGCTTACACAGTAGGGTACTCAGTAAATATTTTTGTTGAATAAATGAATAACTTAATGATTGACTGATGGAATAAAAAGTCTTGAATAGGTCCAACTCTGATGGAGCCATATCACTTCCCTTCCTGGTCCCTCATAGCTGACTGGAGAAAACAGATTTAAGGACGAGTACCTGGAAGTATCAACCAGAATTAGCTTGTAAGGTTGGTTTTTGAGCATGGAAACGGCTCCTGATGCCTTGTGGAGCATTGGAAAAGAGGGTTTGAGTTGCTTTTTCTTCTGCCATTTATTCGTTTTATGACGTTAAGTGGGCAATATCCTTTTCCAGCCTCAAGTTTCCTCATCTGTAAAATGAAGAGAATAGGCCTATCTCATAAAGTTATGGGAGCGCTTCGATGAGGGAATGTATGTAAGGTGCTTGGAATATAGTCAGCGTCAATAAATATAAGTTCAAAACCATTTCCTGCACTTCTTTTGAAACCTCTAGGGACCAAGGAGGGTTCTGTGCCCATAGTAGGTATTTAACATGTTTGTTGAATGAATTCCAGTTTTTTTATAGACTGTGTGGTACTGGGGCTGAGGAGTAGAGGCAAGCATGATCAGCTGAGGGAAGCTTCCAGAAGACAAATTTCTTTTTTTAAATAAAAATTTTAAAATAAATTACATGTTTATGATCAAAAAGAAAAAGAAAATGGTGAGAAAAGGAAAAGTCCTCTTCTCCATTCTTATCTGTGCACAATTTTTCCTCTTTATTTAAAAATATATGTGTTAATTTAGGAGCTCCTGGCTGGCTGAGTCGGTGGAGAGTGCGACTCTTGATCTCAGAGTTGTGAGTTTGAGCCCCACGTTGGGGGTAGAGATTATTTTAAAAAATAAAATCTTATATATGTATTGACTTTGAAAAAAAAGAAACACATATGTAGTAGAAATTTCAAAGAAGAAATTCTCCTACCCCATCTCATTCCCACCTTCAGTATCTTTCCCCAAAAGTAACCACCATGAATATTTCCTAAAAAATTATCTACATATGTATGTGGCTTCTTATTTATACAAAAGAGGGGAGTGTGGATTATGGAGGGCCTTGAATGCCAGGTCAAGGAGCTTGGATTTTTATCATGTTGGTATTGATGAACCATGATAGTATTTCAAACAGGAAAATTTAACAATTTTCAGCATTATCCCACAGACTTTTTATTTTTCTTATTTTTATTTTTTTTTTAAGATTTTTTATTTTTGACAGAGAGAGAGCGTGTACAAGTAGGGGAAGAAGCAGGCAGAGGGAGAGGGAGAAGCAGGTTCCCTGCTGAGCAGGGAGCCCGATGCGGGGCTCGATCCCAGGACCCTGGGATCAGGACCAGAGCTGAAGGCAGACACTTAAACGTCTGAGCCACCCAGGCACCCCCCACAAACTTTTTAAAGGGGTTATAATCTTAGTGCATAGTAGCAGGTGCTCAAAAATTTTTTATTGATTGAATGAACTTTTTCAAACACATTGTACATACAGCAAAGGTATTAAGGTCAAGGTACCGGGCCATTTCTTTACTGTTCACAAATACCCGGGACCTTTAAGCCATTTAGATAACTGGTTTCAAGGCTAATATAACCCAGAGGAGGGAAACTATGGGATGGAGGAGGGTCTCAGCCAGGCCAAGACGAAAAAGGAATGGAAATAACTAGAGGGTGCCTGGTAGACATCATCTCATGGAATCCTTATACCCATTTGGCCAGTTAGGGATTAGCTCTAGTATGAGGATGAGGAAAGTGAGGCTCATGACTTGAAGTGATTCATTCATAGTCACCCAACAAGTAAGTGGCTTTGGGGTCTCCCCGTCTCCACTCTTACTGTCCTTAGATTCATTCTTCAGATAGTAGCCAGAGGGATCTTTTTAAAATATAAAACAGATGGCTTCCAGTTCTTGCTTAAAACTCTGAAGTGGCCTCCCATGGTTCCTAGGATTAAATCCAAGCTTCTCACTAGGCCCACAAGGCCCAGTGCGCCTGGCCTAGCCTCCACCTCACTATTCTTTCCCCTTGCTCACTACACCAGAGCCATCCAGGCCTTCGTTTTTTTGTGTTTGTCTTTTTTTCTAATGGACCAAGCTTATTCCTACCTTAGGGCCTGTCGCGCCTGCTGCTCCTTCTTTCTGGAACACTCTACACACTCACCCTTGTTCTACATATGGCTAGCTCCTTCTCATCCCTTAGTTCTCAGCTTAAAAGTCACCTCCACTGAGAAGCCTTGCCAAATCCCAGCTAAGCAGCCCCCAACACACACCATTATTCTCTATCATTTCATCCTCCTTTTTCTTCATAGCACTTGCTACAAGTTGTAATGATATACTCCTTTGTTTACATGTTTATTTTCTTTTCTTCCATGGGTCTGTGAACCTCATGAGGGCAGAAACTGTCTATTCCTTTCCCCTAGCATCTAGCGTAGGGCCAGACGCATGGCAGGCCTTCCATATTTGTCGAGTGAGTGAATGGACAAGCCAGGCAAGGTTGGAAGCCAGGGTCTGTACATTCAGTTTATGTAGCTACTTCCTTACACAGAAGGCTGGGCCCCAGCTGGGGCAGGATCTGATTTCTAGGGAGGGCCCAAACCCCCCTCCACTCTAGGAAGTGTTTGCCCTGGGTCCTAGGTCCTGAGTGGGTCTCAGGTCTCAGGAAGTTGAGCATAGGGGCCAGGCATCCAGCCCCCTGCCGCCCAGCCCAGCTGCGGGTCCCTGTCTCTACCCAGCCAGGACTGCCACCGTCCCCGTTCTGGGGTGCGTTGGGGAGACACCAAAGGGCGAGCAGTACCGTCTAGTAGGGTTTGCTTACCGGGGGCGGGGAGAGGGGGGAAGCCAAACAGCCCCGCCTGGAGGGCGGGCAGGGCCGGGTAAGGTGCCCAGACCCACCTGGCTGCCGCCCGCAGACCCGGACTCCTTCCTGAAGTCTGCGAGGCTGCAGCGGCTGCCGTCCACGTCATCGGAGATGGGCAGCCAGGACGGGTCGCCGCTGCGGGAGACGCGCAAGGACCCGTTCTCCGCGGCAGCGGCCGAGTGCTCCTGCCGCCAGGACGGACTCACAGTCATTGTCACAGCCTGCCTCACTTTTGCCACCGGTGTCACTGTGGCGCTCGTCATGCAGATTTACTTCGGAGACCCTCAGGTGAGGGGGTTGGGAGGGGGCAGAAGGAGGAAAGGAGAAGAGGGAGTGGGGAAGCGCTTGCGGAGACCGTGGGAATTGAATTGCGACTGGCTGAGTGGGGGAGGGGGCCAGCAAATGGAAAGGGGAGAGGACAGTGAGACGGCAGAAGAAGGTCCCAAAGGGAGGAGCTCAGGGTGTGAACGGGACAGAGCAAGGAAGGGACCTGATCAGGTAAGAGGCACTGGAGGCAATATAGGAAGAGTCATAGGGGACAAGAAGGCGGGGCTCCCACCCCCAACACCTGTGGAGGTTCTGGGGTTGGTGGAGGTGCCTTAAGGAGGCAGGGGTCTCCTACTGCCCCCACCTAGTCCCCTTTCCCTTCCCAGATCTTTCACCAGGGTGCCGTGGTGACTGATGCCGCCCATTGCACATCTCTGGGCATCGAGGTGCTCAGTAAACAGGGATCTTCTGTGGATGCCGCTGTGGCAGCCGCCCTGTGTTTGGGGATCGTGGCTCCACACAGTTCTGGCCTTGGCGGGTAAGGCGCTCCTAGCTGTGGAGGCTGGGGTCCCCCAGGCCTACTTCTGTGTCCTGGTCTGTAGGCCTCATGTGGGGGTCTTTGAGTTTGACCAGAGGGGTAGCTGGGCCCTAACTCCTTGCATTTGTCTTTCTACACCCAGTTTTACCCCCTTCTCCTGACATGGAGTCAGAAGAGGTGTTTTCACAAGCTTTTTTTTTTTTTAACTGGGTAAAGGCTTTTATAAACTATAAAGTAAGGTGCACAGGTGGGGGTATACTGTCACTAATTAAGGCAGGAATACTTTAACTTTTAGGGTTTACAAATCCTTAAAACAAATCCTGTTGAGCATGATGAAAGCTATGGACCCTCTATCCTCCAGAAATACACCACAGGCTGAGAACTCTTACAACAGAGATTATAAACTGGCCACCCATAGGCCATACCCAGCACAACAGATTAGTTTGGTTTCCACACTTAGATTTTTTAAAAATTTGTTTGCTGTTGTTAAAAAATTGAGAATTTTCATAAAAATGCAGATTTTCAATATCTCTCGAACAATCAGAAGACCTGGTAACACTGGGCCCACATTCCCACATGGCTGCAGTTATCTGAATAGCATGACGGGACTTGTGCTGTCCACTTGGCCATAGTTCCTACCACTCCCTATTGTTTATCTGGCATGCTTTCCTATTATATTACTTGGCTGCAGGCCAACCATCTCAGATATAACTCCCATTTTAGATGGAAACAAGCCACAGAAAAGGAACAAGCTGACAAAGTCCGTATCTTGGCTCCTGCAAGACCAGCCCTGCAGGCCCTACCAAAGAAATTCCCCTTTTGGTCGTATACAGTCCATCCTTACATAATTCAGTCCTGGTAGAGGGAGCCAGGGCATACCATGGAGGCAGGTGCAAGAAGCTGGCAGGGGTCCAGCTGTGGTCTAAGGTGGGGGCAGGAGGTAGAACATCTTGCTCTTCCAGTCTCTGGGTTTTCCCTAATCAGGGATTAAAATCTCCAGTAACAGCCTAGAAGAGGTCCATGGTCTCTGGGTCCCCAACCCCCTTGATTTTATTCCTCACCCTCATACAGTGGCTGAGTCTCTGAATCCATGCTAGAGGGGGCTCAGACATCTGACTCCTGTGACAAACTTAGCCTATGGCCATCACCATTGGGGATGAAAGGGTGGCAGGTTAATTGTTTAGAGGGGTAGTATCTTATCAACCTCCCCTTCTGTGTCTCTCCCAGTGGGGGCGTGATGCTGGTACATGACATCCGACGAAATGAGAGCCACCTAATTGATTTCCGGGAGTCTGCACCAGGGGCCCTCAGGGAAGAGGCCCTGCAGAGATCCTGGGAAACCAAGGTGGGGACCCTGGTGAGAAGCGAGAGTCCAGGGGTGGTCTCCCTTCACTACCCTTCTGCTAACCCAAACATTACTTTGCTGAGTAATTATTATGGAAGTGAGGAAAAGAGTGAAGCAGGATGCGCTTAAAGCTATGAAGGAGATAGGCAGCCCCCCAAATAAAATAATGAACCAAAAGATCTGTATGGTTGATAACAGGCAATATAGTAACACCTTACTTCTGGAAGCCTGAGCAGCCTGAGAGGTTGCAAATTTCCTGCACTATAACTCACACATCTCATTCAAAGCCGGTTGGCTATAACTTTCCCAGCACACAACATACTGGAAAATTAAAGAGGAACTGCAAAAGGCAAACGCATTATCCACTGAGACCAAGGGAGGAAATAGAATAACTTGGAAAAATAGATATTTGGTGCGGTGACAAAAGCCAAACACATGCCTGAGTTATCACAGCTGAGTAATGGTGGTGTGATCATGGAATGGTTAAATGAAAGTCCATTGTCCATTATTTTAAAGTGCAGGAATAGATGTAATCCAATGTAGACAGGTTTCCATCTAAATTGGTTACGTCTTGGCTCTTAAAGGGGTTTGCTTAATTTATAAATCCCTCAACTATGATAGATAAAGGAAGCCTTTCCGTAAGTCAGAGAAATGGGAGGGATGCCTGCTTGGGGAGAGCTTGTCCCTCCTCTGGGATACTTGGCCTGTGTCTTTCCCCTGTGCCAGCCCCCATCCCTGGCTTGGGGCTCTGCGGAGTTCAGCCCAGCCCCCCCCTTCCAGTGACCTGGTCTCCTCTCTCCCTCGCCTGCCCGCCTCGCCCAGCCTGGGCTCTTGGTGGGGGTCCCCGGAATGGTGAAGGGGCTACATGAAGCTCACCAGCTCTATGGCAGGTAAAGACCCTCCCCCGGGGGACCACGGGCCCCTGCCTGCATCTCTCCTTGGGTGGCCTTCTCCTACCTTCCTGGATTCTTTCCTTCCCAACTCCCCCTCCTAATATCCCCTTCCCTTGCCAGGACTCTCCTTCCCAGGAACCCCCATTCCCCCAGGACCCCTCCTCCTCCCCCCAGGATCTCCTCCACCCCCTGCTCTCCGGCCCCCTCAGGCTGCCATGGTCCCAAGTCCTGGCCTTCGCAGCAGCTGTGGCCCAAGATGGCTTCAACGTGACCCGTGATCTAGGTCAGTGGGGCCTGGGGGTGGGGAGAAAGGCATGAGGTTGATGGGAAGGGGAGAGGAAACCTCTGAGATTTGGGGCCCAAGCCAGAAAACACCTCTCTTCCATTTGCTCCTTTAGCTCCCTCCCCACCCATCCTACCCTCATAGGGATGCAGCCTCAAATGAGGGGACCTGGGAAGGGCCCATATATCCCCCCTTCCTCCCCCATAACAGGCTCCTGGTGGGGAGGGCAGAGCTCTTAGGGCCAGCCACTCAGCCACCTCACCTATGGCGCATCTCAGCCCCCTGCCCAGCCTCCTGTCCCTGCTTGCAGCCCGTGCCCTTGCCGAACAGCCTCCGCCCAATGCATCTGAGCGTTTCCGTGAGACATTCCTGCCATTGGGCCACCCGCCACTACCTGGCTCACTGCTGCGTCGGCCTGACCTGGCCGCAGTGCTGGATGTACTGGGCACCTCCGGCCCCGCCGCCTTCTACGCAGGAGGCAATCTCACACTGGAGATGGTGGCCGAGGTGAGCACTTGGGGAGCCCCCCCTGCCCTGAAGGACCCTACTGCAGGGATGTCTTCTTCCCTTTCCTTCCCTCTCTGTCTTTCTTTCTATGTAAATTTACTGATGATTCCATTTACTTAAGATTCTCTAATCGACAAAACTAACTTCTAGTGGTAGGAATCAGATCAGTGGTTGTTTGGGATGGGGGCAGTTGATGGGATGCAGCATAAAGAACCCCCTGGGATGATGGAACTGTTCTGTCTTGACTGAGAGAGGTGCCCTTGGACCCCCCAGGGCTGGTGCCAACCTGTGCAGAGTCTTAACCTGTCCCTCCCAGTCCTGGCAGAGACCCAGGATCAGCCTCAGCTTTCCCGATCCCACAATCCCACCCTACTCTTGGGTTTTCTAGGGATGGAGGGAAACCCCTCCTTCACTGATGACTGTCAGGACTGGGGATATTGACACAAGGGCTTACCAACCAACCCCAAAGACTCTTAGTCTGAGGTAGTAATGGGTTCTGAGAACTGTTGTCAGTAATTCAAAACTCCTAAGGGAAAATTATGTTCAAGGTAAGGATACAGAAACCAACTCTGTGATTCTCTCATCTGTACCATTGGGGTGATTATATGTATCTCTGCCATATGGTTGTGGGAATTGAATTGGTCCGTCACTCAGACTACATTCAGAGTGCCTGTTCTTTGTCAGACCCTGTACTGGGCACTGGAAGTATGGCTATGTGATGGACTTAACTGGGAAGTCCAGCAGAGTACTGGCTGTAGGTCTGCTGTGCCCAGAACTCCATCCACACACTTTCTTCTGTTTGAATTCACTCTCTATCAGATCCTTTCCACACCTGCTCCCCACTGGCCATTCTTCCAGCAAACCATCCCAGAAAAAGAACATTTCTCATTCCAATAGTTACAGCAAAAGCCTCCAGGTCATGTCTCATCAGCCTGTCATAGGTCTCATGACTATTCCCAAACCAATCACTGGCATGGAAAAGGAATGTTCTGATTAGCCAGCCACACCTGGATCTTCTGGAGAAGGGGATGAAGGAGACTCTAACAAAGATTATCTGAGCTTTAAAAGAAAAAAAAAAAACAAAAAAAACCCCCAAAGTTGAATTCATAAAATTGACCAACAAAGGAAAACACACGAGCCAAGAAATTCAGTGTGTAGTTCACTGAGGGTGGATTAGAAGTCAGGGGTTTCAAGTACTAAAAAGTAAAAAAAAAAAAAAAGAGAGAGAGAGAGATAGAGGGAAGGGAGAGAGAGAGAGAGAAGATTCCTAGTGGTTATGCTAATTTAGGAATGAAAATTACCGTGCTGGAAAGGATGAGTTCATGGGTTTGTACAAAATCGGTTCATTGGTCAACAGAGTGCTTGGTTACATGAAATCAGGGTCAATCCTACCAGGATCATCCAGAGTTCATGGTTTGGGAGTGGCTTTAGTTAATTGTAGTGAAATGAAGAATCCAGTTTTGATATCTTATAGGCAAATTCTACTGTAGGTAGAAAATATTCTTTTTTTTTTTTTTCAAGTAATCTCTATGCCCAATGTGGGGCTTGAACTCAGGACCCCAAGATCAAGAGTTGCATGCTGTACCTACTGAGCCAGACAGGCATCCCAGAAAATGTTCCTTTTACATAGGCAGAGAAGGTAGTATGTTTAAGGCCAAGGAGTCATAAGTTCAGAAACTGTAGGTCACTCAGGGTGGCTGTAAAGAGCTCACTGGGGAATAGCAGGACATGAGGTAGGAGAGGTGGGCAGGGGCCAGATCACAAAGGGACTTGGATGCCAATCTAAGGAGGTCATTCAAAGAATTTCTGATACATAGCAGGTGCTCATTGTTAGTGCTTTTTCCCCTTCCTTTTTCCCAGGATACCCAGGGCTAACGGGTCCCTAAAGGCTGTGTGGAATTGCAGAAGGCACAAAAATTATAAATATCAAGTCTGTCTTTGATTCAACCATATACCATAGGCCAAGCCCACATGCTCACAGTGTGGTGTGTGGCTCACATCTGTGGTGGGGTCATTCTCTCCCCTGCAGGCCCAGCACGCAGGGGGTGTCATAACCGAGGAGGACTTCAGCAATTACAGTGCCCTCGTGGAGAATCCTGTGTGTGGCGTATACAGAGGTGAGCTCTCTCCCAGCTCTCAGGGTCCCTGCTCAGGAGAAGCCTCCTAGTCCATGGCCACCTCCTTTTGGCCTAGAGACTCCTCCCCATTTTTCAGGAGAGAGACTGAGGCAGTGAGCTGCCTGGGCAGCCAACTGTTGAAGCAAGCCAGAGCCAGCCCATCTTCTGAAGTAGTCGTGGGGTCAGTTACCCCAAGTATTTAGGATATGAGGAGGGAGGTCTGGTCAAAGGCTCAGGCCTGGGAGTTGGGGTTCTGGCCATAGGTTTTCTTGATTTGGGTTCTATGTTGCTTTAGCTCCACTCTCACTGCCCTGTACTTCCTTAGAAGAATTCATAAGACCAGAGTTCATCTAGCTTCATATTGAACAAACTTTTCAAGACAATTATAGACCTGTCCCCTCATTGTGTCAAAAGAAAACTGAGGCCCAGGGATGGAATGGAACTTAACCTATCAAACTCAAACCAGCGAGGAGCCCAGAAAGCTAAGCTTATGACATGGGTGAAGTCCATGTTTGCTGAACCCAAAGTGGTGGGTTCCTGGGTCCCTCAGAAGGTTCTCAGGTTCTCGGGTCCTTTCCTCTCTAGAAGGTCTGGATCACCTCAAGCCCCAGGTCAGGTCGCCTCTGAGTTCAGGTTTCCAGGCCTCAACCTCTAGCCTGATTCTTCTACCAGAAGTGATGGTATATGGAGCAGAGGAAGAGCATAGTTTTGGAGCCAGGAAGACCTGGGTTTGAGTACCAGCTGTCCCATTCACCTTGAACAAGTCACTTCCCACTCTGAGCTGTGGTTCCCTCCTGAAAATGGAGATAATGTTAGTGCCTACCTCTCAGGGCCCCCATGAAGATTTGAGGAGATGATGTTGGAAGCTGCCCTGATCAAAGTGGACACTGAATGCTTATTTGATCTTACATTTCTCCTCCTCAGCCTGGTTCTCTTGGCAATGCCAGCACTTTGAGTGCGCCGGGTTCCCCCTGTCTCCTATAAACTTGGACCAGCCGCCTCTCTGTGCCTCAGTTTCCTCACCTGTAAAATAAGGATGATAACATTACCCATTGTGAGGATTAAATGAGTTAATCAGTTACTGTCAATGTTATTTGTCAGGTATTATCATTATTCTTTCAATGTCCAAACATCTAATAATAGGGGCCTCAAATAGGAAGAGGAGGTTGTTGCTCCCAAGAAGTTTTGGGGGTAGTGGGACCATCAGGGGCCCTGAATAGTATCCTGGCCTGTGGGAGGAGCTAAAAGGAGACACATGGTGGACCAGGAATCTGGACTTCTGGACACCTGTCCCTGTTCTGCCTACAAAGTGACTGGACAGACTACAGTCCTCTTGGACCTTAGTTTCCTTGTGCAGAAGAGGAAACTGAAGGCCAGTTGTTCTGGATTGGAGTTCTGGCCCTGCCCTTGACTTGCCATGTGAACTTGTGTGGGTCCCTTTGCCTCTCAGGGCAGTTTGCCTGTCTGATGAGGGGTCAGTGCAGTAGTCTCAGTCTATGTGATGGTGGGATGTGGAGATGTTTTGACCCCACCCCTGCCATCTAGTCATTTCTTTTTTTTTTTCCCCAGGCCACCTGGTTCTCAGTCCCCCACCCCCGCATACGGGTCCTGCCCTCATCAGTGCTCTCAACATCCTTGAAGGCTTCAATCTCACCACGCTCGTGTCCCGGGAACAAGCTCTTCACTGGGTGGCAGAGGCAAGGCCGACCCCTCCACCCTGCCCTGGGTCTTGGTACACTGGGAGTGGGGGGATGGGGTATTGCCATGGGGCAGGACTAACCTCCAAGTTTTCTCACATGAGGATCAATAGCGTGGGTGCTGGGAGGAGCCTGGCAGCCTCTTCCACACCCCTGTACATTTTCAGACTCTGAAGATCGCATTAGCCCTGGCCAGCAGACTGGGAGATCCTGTCTACGATTCCACCATCACTGAGAGCATGGATGACATGCTCAGGTGGGTCCCAGGGCAGGACCCTAAGGGTGGCAGAGGTGGTAGTGGGTGTGAGGAAAGGATCAGATGAAAAGCAGCTGGTAGAGCAATAAGACCTGGAGTCCCAAGTCAATTTCAGCTCAGCTCAACTCAGTATTACACTGGTTACTTTTCCCAGTACCTACCTCAATTTCCCCATTTGTATGATGAGTTAGTCTGCATCATTTGGCTCTCAAAACTTTCTGACCCTAGCAGAGCACATATCTGGGCCCACCTGTGTCCCCTTTTTAGTGGAAAAAGAAAGCCTAAGAACAATGAAAAGTCCCCAAGCAAATACCTGAGGTGATGGGGATTTTGACTATAATGTCTCCACATTAGCAACATAACATTGTAGTAAGACTGTGGGCTCTGGTCAGACTGACTCAGTTCAAATCCCAGCTTCACCATTCACTAGCTGTGCAGCACTGGGCAAGTCACTTAAATTCTGTCTGTTTCTACAAGGGGGCCTGACAATAATGGTGCCAGCCTCATGAGGTTGAGGTAAGGACTAAATAAGGTCATACATGCGAAGCACTTAGCACACTGTGTGGCATATAATAAATATTCAACAGATAGTATTAGTAATTGGCAATAGGGGTGGGTAAGAATGGTTGGTATTTAATTGCTACTCTCATTGACTGAAAGGCTAGCTAAGGGAAAAATCAGAAGCCAAAAATATAGTTAGCGTAAATTTGTAGTATTACTCAAGCAACTCTATGAATTAAGTTGAAAACAATGAGACTAAAGTGAATAGCTTATAATTAAAAAGCAAAAAGAGCAACAACCAAAAACAGTAAGCAGTTCAAGACCACAAGGAAGAGGGCTAAAAACAAAGCCTCTGTTCCCCCACCCAATCCACTTGAAACAAAGCCCTCTGTACCTCTTCTGTGTGGCCTCCAGCCTTTATGGTTGAAAACGGAATGAAAGTCTTCAGTAATCCTTGGTAACTTGTCACTCTAATCAACTAGAAGCACCAAACTAACAGTCATTAAGTAAGAAACCCTCGGCCAAACTTTAAAAAGTCTGGAGAATTACATGTTGTTTTCAATTTAGCTCTAAAACACACACACACACACACACACACACACCCCTATATTAAATTCATCTAAGTAATTCTTCCAATATATAGTTATTAAGGGCTTACTGTGTGCCAAGTCTTCCTGTGCCTTGAAAAAAAAATTCTAATAGTAACTAAAGATCCCTGTATACAAAACCCTCCTCTGACTAAACTCTTCATAAAACTTCAGTTCGAAATGACAAACATTAGATTAAATAGTTTGTTCATTCAAAACAAATATTATCTGAGCATCCACTATGCCCCAGGTACTTTCAAAGAGAAGATTAAGTGAGTAAATAAAGTCGAGTAACTAAAAGACTCTTGATTTAAGCACTAAATAAAAGTTGGCTCTAAAAGGGAATCTGGATAACACCTAAATGAACTCAGTCAGTTCAACAACGATTTCCTGGATATTTCCCATATGCTCGGAATGAGAGATTCTGCTCTCATGGACCTGAGAGTCCAATGGGGGAGGCAGACATTAATCAAATCATTGCACAAACAGGCATCACAGTGTGGTAGGTGGGGTGTAACGAGAGCCTGCTATGTATTAATCTCCTACCCCTTGTCTTTTCAGCAAGGTAGAAGCTGCCTACCTCCGGGGCCACATCAATGACTCCCAGGCGGCCCCTGCCCCACTCCTGCCCGTCTACGAGCTGGATGGGGCTCCCACAGCTGCTCAGGTGCTGATCATGGGCCCTGATGACTTCATTGTGGCCATGGTCAGGTATGCCAGCTCAGACGAAGAACCTGGCACTGGGGATCATCTGGACCAGGAAGAGGTGGGGGCCAGATGGGAATGAGGGTGACCTCAGGGCTCACCTGGCTCCAACCTCTACCCCCAGCTCCCTGAACCGGCCTTTTGGCAGTGGCCTCATCACTCCCTCAGGGATCCTGCTCAACAGCCAGATGCTAGACTTCTCCTGGCCCAACAGGACTGCTAACCACTCTGCACCCAGCCTGGTAGGGCCTTGCTTCCCTCCTCCCCTGGGGACCTTGAGGCTAGGTAGGAGGTACAGCAGTATGGCTGCCCCTCCCTCCCTACTTCCTCTAGGAACTTCTGGTATAAGAAAAGAAGCCTAAACAAGGTGTCCACTTCACCCCCAGCCCAAGTCTGGGGCTTGGAGCTTGGTGGGCGTGAAGAAACCTCATCCCATTCTGTGTCTGTCTCACTATGTGAGCTGGGGAAAGTCTTGCCCCCTCTCTTGGCCTCAGTTCCTTCACCTGTACAATAAGGATATTAGCCCTCATTTGATGCTTTGGTACTTTTCAGCACAATGGTCTACGATTGTGTAATGCTGAGCTGATGGGGTCAGCCCTCTTGTTGGTCAAAGGAAGAAGGAGATAGGAATTATGGTCTATTTGGAGGCCAGTACTCTTACTCTCTGCATCCTGAGGCCCTGCCAGGACAATGAGAGAGATGACCAGGGTAGAGATTATCCTGTTCTTCCCTTTAGCCATCTGTCTTGGCTTGGTCCCCTCCCCTTCCACCCATGGTGGCCCCATAGCAACTCAGTGGGTCCACTATCCACCCCAGTTATCCAGGGACCCTGTCCATTTCATAGACAGCAAACTGTGGCCTGGGAAGGGACCAGTCTCCCATGAAAACCTGCCCCAACTGTTATCCCCCTGTGCTCTCGGTCCTCTGACAACAGGAGAATTCGGTGCAGCCAGGGAAGCGACCACTGTCTTTCCTGCTGCCCACTGTGGTCCGGCCAGCAGAGGGGCTTTGTGGGACCTACCTCGCCCTGGGGGCCAATGGAGCTGCCCGGGGCCTCAGTGGACTGACCCAGGTGAGGTTTCCTCCATGGTAGGCCCTTTGTGGTCAGCAGCCAAGCTGTGGCCTGAACTTTAGATGCCCTCGTGTCTCTGGCTTATTCTCATCCATAGCTCAACAAACATAGGCTGAGGCTGCTTTGTGACAGGCCCATCCTGGGCACTGGGGACATAGGCTGTGCTGAGTTTCTTAGCCAAAATGGAGCCCTGAAGTTCCCTGTCTTCCAGGTTGGATGGAAAATCATGGTTTGGTGGAACTGAGAGGTGATATAGCACCTGGGCTGCCTAAGTCTGTCAACCTCAAGTCCCATGATGCCTCTACTCAGCATTTGAATAGACAAGCAGCCCTCTTTAGGGTCTGATTTTGAAAGGAAGTGCCTACTCTCCAGAATGTCTCACAATAGTTACACAAATGTTTTAAGCACCTGATATATGTGCCAGGCACTTACTTTGGCAGATGGTGAGTTAAGTGGCCTAAGCTTTGGAATCAGACAGCCCTGGGCCCCAGGCCAAGTGCTGCCAATTTTCAACTGTGTGATGTTGGGGAATTCGCTTAACCTCTCTGAACCTGTCTCCTCATCTGTAAAATGGAGACAGTAATAACAACTAGCCTTTATGGAGTTCTACTAACCGCCAGGCATGGTGTTACATATGCTCACTCTTTTAGCCTTCCCAATATTGGGAGGAATCCTTATTTCCATTTTATATATGAGGAAACTAAAGCCCAAAGAGGTTAAGAAGTTAGGTCCAGTTAAGTAAGAATGGTCAGGCAGTTTGTTTTGAGAGCCTACCCACACTCCTAACCACTAAGCTAAAAGTACCCACCCATACTGTGCCTTAGACTACTCCAGCTATTAACCCTGTCCTGGCCAGGGAGAAGGGAGGCGAGCCCCGGGCCGGATTACAGGAGACTGACTGCCAGTGGTACCTCTTCCTTGGCTCTCTCTAAGCTCTGGAGTGAATTGCTTTCCCTTTCTGGCCTTCAGTTTCCCCCTGTATGAAATGGGGACAGTCATTACAGGCCTGCCTGTTTTCCAAGGCTGTTCAGATAATACCCCTAGTGTAAGGGTTCCAAAGAGTAAGAAGTCCGGCCCAGGGATGAGGCCTGCAGAGTCCTGAATCCCCATCTCTGGGGCAGCCCTGACTTCTACCCCTTGGCTGCCCACAGGTTTTACTGAATGTCCTGACCTTGAACCGGAACCTGAGTGACAGCCTGGCCCATGGCCGTCTGCATCCAGACCTGCAGTCCAACCTCCTGCAGGTGGACAGTGAGTGCAGAGCAGAGATCCCCATGGGGTGGGCAAAAAGCTGGGTGGAGAAAGGGGCTCCTCGCAATGGTGTCCCTGCCTTGACCAGTACAACTCCTGCCAGTGAAAGTTTGATTTCTCCCAACTAATTCCTTTGGGACAGTGAACGATCTGGGGACTGGAACCAGTTCTGTCATTTCCTGGTTGTGTGGCCTTGGGAAATTCATGTCTCTACTCTGAGCCTCAGTTTTCTAATTTGTAAAATAAGATACACTTGTTCATTCTGCAAACCATTCATTCAGCAGTTTGTATTGAATACCTACTGTGTGCCAGGCATTATTGTAGGTGCTGGGGATACAGCATTTATAGGCAGACAGGAAAATAAATAATCAAAGAAATATAAGAAAGTGAAATAAATACTCTGCAGGCTGACATAAAGGACCAACTCGATGACTAGGGAAGTCTTCTCTTTGGTGACATTTAAGCTGAGATCTGAAGAGTAAGAGGGAGCCCACCGTACAAAGAACTGGGGCGGGTTTTGTAGGCGAAGGGAACAGATGCAAAGAATTCAGGGCAGAAATGGGCTTGGCATGTTTTAGGAGTAGAAAGGAGACCAGGGTGAATGAGAGTGAGATGAAGGGGCCAGGTCATGGACCCTGTAGATTACAGTGAGAAAATGTGCTTTCCTCTAAGGACAGGGGCTTAATTTTAGACACAACTTAATTTTTGTAAATGGGAAAGTATGGGCAGCTTTGAGGAATTTTTATTATAACAGATGATGTATTATGCAAGTCCAAAGGGGATAGGACATTGAATGAGACATGGTTCTTGCCTACTTGGTATTATGTATTACAAATTTATATGTATTATGCCCAGAGAGGTTATAAATCAGTCAAAAATCAACCCATAAGTGGCAGAATTGAGATTAGAACATATACCTAGCTGACACCAAAGACTCAGTTCTTTACAGCATATCTCCTAGACTGAAGCATGTTAGAAGTCACAGACCTAAATCCTCAGCAGCCACACTCTGTGGTTTGGTTGGTAATACTCTGGATCCTGGATGATGATAATGAGGCTATCCCAACTAATAACTTCTGATCTCTACTGAATGTGAGGCTGTATGCTAAGTTACTTGGGCGGGGGTGGAGGGAGTTGGATTTGGTTCATCCTAGCCCACCCTTGAGGAATTCACAGTTTAAGACAGGAACATGAGGAGTAGAGGCTTGGCGAAGGGAAAGTTCATCCACTGAGGGCTATGGAGGAGGTGACAACTGGCTGGGCCTTGAAGTATGAGCAGGTATTTGGCATGTCCAGAACCCAGAATATTCTGGACAAATGGGCAAAAGCCAGAAAGAATGGCTCAGAAAGCAGCCAGGAGGCCTGCTGGACTAGAGACATTGTTTACTAAACTTCAGAATTTATCCAGCACTTTCACGAATTTTGCCACATTTGCACACCATCTGAACCATTATTTACATATGTGTCTCTGTAAATAGACTTCCTTTTCAATGTAAGTGTATTTTAAAGGTAAATCCCATATCATAATCTCAAATGGAAAAGTAGCATCATTTGCCACAAATGAAAGATAAAGACCTATTAAAAAGTCAACTGTTTGTAGGTTTTAGGTGGATATGGTTACCCCAGAAGGCTCTGGGGCCTGCTCTCTCTGTTGAAAAAAGAGGTTAGAAGTGTTAGAGGCCAGACTAAAACTTAGTCCTTGCCATTATCCAAAGAATCGAAAATGAACCATAAAGGAAATACATTTCTGACTTGGTGATTCATTGCTATTCAGTGTTGTATCTTTACCTCAAGAGCTACCCTAAGTTATCCCATCTGCAGACCCAAAGGAGCAGTAAGAGGTGAGGTTACAGGGCTTATGGAGGTTCATGGTAAGAAGGATGGACTTTATCCACTTGACTGGAGGTGGGATAGACCTGAAATGTTTTATGTAGGGGAAATGGATTGAAGGGTGGAGAATTTAAGTTGGGGAAACAGAGGCAACTAGGATAAAGGGCCAGGCAAGAAATGGCGAGGGCCTGAACTTATGTAAGAGGGTGGGCATTTCTTCATTCATCCATATAAAGGCAATGAGGATCAATGGTGAATAAGAAAATGTCCTTGCCTTCAAAATGCTTATAATCTAATGGAGAAAGACATAGTAAATAAATGAATAAATAAACAGGTAGCAATAAGTACTTTGAAAGAAAATAAAGCAAGGTAAAGATGACAGGGCTGCCATTTTAGATTGTGGTCAGGGAAGTTCTCCTCGAAGATTGGAATGAAGTAAGGAAGCCAGTTTTGTGACTAGGAGAAGAACATTCCAGACAAATAGAACAGCATGTGCAAAGCCCTGAGGCAGGAGCATGTTTGGCCTAACCTGAGGGACAGCAAGGAGGCTAAAGCAGAGTTAAGGGAGAAAATGGAAGGAAATGAGTGAGGAGAAGAGTTTAGTGAGGCAGTGAGGTCCCAGATGATGATGTGCCTTAGAGGCCTTGGTAGGAACTTTGGATTTTTCTTCTAAGAGCCGTCAAAGCTGTTGGAAAGTTTTGAGAAGGGGAAGTGAGTGGTCTGACTAATGGCTTAAGGGGATCCCTTTGGCTCTATGTGAATAGGCTGTAAGGAAGCAGGACTGGAACCAGAAAGACCAGTCAGTGGGCTAGGCAGTAATGGCTGCATCCTGGCTATCCTGGCAAGTAATGATGGCAGCTTGGCCTAGGCAGGTGGAGATGAAGAGCCCATAGCCCTTTTTTGCAATATTAAGAGTGAACATATATTATTGATCACATACTATATGCAAGGTTCTGACCTCTGTGCTTTCTGTGATTTATCTCCTTTAATCCCTACAACAACTTCATGGTAGGTTCTTACATAATCCCCATTTTATGCATGAGGAGGCTGAGGCTCAGAGAGGTAAAGCAGTTTGCCCAAGGTCATACAGTGGGCATCCAGGACCAGGATTCAGGTCTGACCATGGGACTCCTAACCCGTGCTCTGAACACTCTGAATGTGTATATGTTGGGGGATGGTTTTCAGGTGAGTTCACAGAGGAAGAGATTGAGTTCCTGGAAGCCAGGGGTCACCATGTGGAGAAAGTAGATGTCTTATCCTGGGTCCATGGCAGCCGGAGAACCAACAACTTTATCATTGGTGTGAAGGACCCTCGGAGCCCAGACGCAGCTGGAGCCACCATCCTGTAGAGCAGCGGGGTGGGGCGGGGGTCTCTGCTCCCCCCCTTTGCATGTTCCTAGAGTCCCTCCTTCTCCCAGGTTTGGTCTCAGGGGGACCCCAGGGATGCCCCAGATCATGGGCCAGACCCTATCCCAGAGTAACTGGAAAATTCTTTAACCAGAGGCCTGTGGTGGTGGTGGTGGTGAGTGTCAGTGTCCACAACCAGGCAGGCAGGTCTGTCTGTCTCCTTACCCTCAGCCATGCTGGCCCTGAGCTTAGGGATGCGTTTGCAAACCCTTCTCAAGGGTCCTCACAACCCCAACATCTCCAGTCTGGCCTGACCTGGACCTTGTCTTCCAGCTCCCTTCTCCTGTCCCTAGCCTCGTTTCTTAAATGACTAGGATTTTTTTAATGGACCATCCTGGGGAGGGGGTGCTCCTCTCTTCCTCCCACCAAGTTGAGGTGGGGACTTGCATCTGGGGGGGGCCCAGGTTGTGGGTAGGGGTGGGGGTGGGGACCAGCTCAGGGGCTTCCATTTGCAAAGGGGAATTAAAGAAAGACTATTGCTTAACCACGGCTCTGGACTGATTTATGTTTGGCTGTGTGGGAGTGGGAGCAAGTGAGGTGGTGCAAAAACAGCCACAGCCATTGGTTTACTATTTGTTTCTTAAATTGGATATTTTGGGTATTTGGGTATCTTGGTTAAGATGTGAAGCTTTCTGATTTGAAAACTTACTACAGGGGTGCCTGGCTGTCTCAGTCGGTACAGCATGCAACTCTTGATCTTGGGGTCATGAGTTCAAGCCCCACATTGGGCCTGAAGCCTACTTATAAATAAACAAACAAACAAATAAATAAATGGTTTTTTTTTAAGTGAAAAAAATGAACATTTACAATAAAGTTACAGTATTCAAAACAGTTTGGTACTGGCATGAGGCTGAACATACCAATGGAATAGAATTGAGAGTCTAGAAATAAACCTATATATCTATGATGAGTTGATTTTTGACAAGAGTGCCAAGATTCAATGGAGAAAGAATAGTCTTTTCAACAGACAGTGCTGGTACAATTGAATATCCACATAAAAAAGAATGAAGTTTGACCTTTACCCCACATCACATACAACTAGTAACTCACAATGGATCAAAGACCTAAATATAAGAGCTAAAACTATACAAGTCTTAGAAAGAAACATAGGAGCAAATCCTCATGACTTGGATTTGGCATTGGTTCTTAGATATGACACCAAAAGCACAAGCAACAAAAAATAGATAAATTGAAATGCATGAAAACTAAAAACTTTGAGCATTAAAGGATACATCAAGAGGGTAAAAAGACAACCCCCAAAATGAGAGAAATATTTGCAAACATATATCTAATAAGGGTCTAGTACCCAGAATATATAAAGCACGCTTCAGTTCAACAACCTAATTAAAAGTTGGGCAAAGAACTTGACTACACATTTTTCTAAAGAAGATATTCAAATGATCAATAAGTCCATGATAAGATGCTCAATATCATAAGTCACCAGGGAAATTCAGATCAAAACTACAATAAAATAAATGCCACTTCACACTCACTAGGTTGGTTATATTTTTAAAATAATTTTTAAAAGGAAATAAATGTTGGTGAGGATATGGAGAAATTGGAACCTACATATATTGCTAGTGGGAATGTAAAGGTGCAGCTGCTGTGGATAACAGTTGGGCATTTAAAAATTAGAATTATCATATGACCCAGCAATTCCACTCCCAGATATATACCCCAAAGAATTGAAAACAACTGTTCAAACAAAAACTTGTACATCAATGTTCCTAGCAGCACTATTCACAAAAGGCAAAAGGTGAAAACAACCCAAATGTCCATCAATAGATGAATGGATAAGCAAAATGTGGTATATTCATACAATGGAATATTATTCGGCAATAAAAAGGAATGAAGTACTGATACATGCTACAACAGGAGTGAACCCTGAAAACATTATGCTAAGTGAAAGAAGCCAGACACAAAAGGTCACATATTGTATGATTCCATTTATGTGAAATATCCAGAACACGTGAATTTATAGAAACAGAAGGCAAATTAGTGGTTGTTTAGGGATAGAGGAATGGGGGATTGGGAGAAAGGCAATATTTAAAGGGTACAGATTTTCTTTTTGAAGTGAAAAATTGTGGTGATGGTTGCACCTGTGATTGTACTAAAAAGCATTGGATTGTGTGCTTTAAATGAGTGAATTGTATGGTATGTGCATTCTCTCTCAATAAAGCAGTTTTTAAAAGATAGGATTTGGCAATATCCACTAGAGCTGAACACATGCAAATTCTATGACCCAGCAATCCTGGTCCATATATATATGGATATATATATATATATCCAGCAGAAAATTGTACAGATGTTCATCCAAAGACGTGCAAGAATATTCATTGTAGCACTTTAAAAAATTGACCTGAGGGGTGCCTGGGTGGCTCAGTCCGTTAAGCATCTGCCTTCAGCTCAGGTCATGATCCCAGCATCCTGGGATCGAGCCCCGCATCGGGCTCCATGCTCAGCAGGGAGCCTGCTTCTCCCTCTCCCTCTGCTTGCCTGTCTGCCTACTTGTGATCTCTCTCTGTCAAATAAATAAATAAAATCTTTAAAAAATAAAAAAATAAATAGAAAATTGACCTGAAGTGGAAATTCACCATCAGTAGAATGGATAAATTGTGATATATTCAATTAATAAAATGTTATGCAGCAATGAAAAGGACAAACTACAACTATATATTAACAATATAGATGAATCTCAAAAACATAAAATTAAGCGAAAGAACCCAGACTCAAAAGAGTACACTCTCTATGGTTCCATTTATATAAAGTTTAACATCTGGCATGCCTAATCTATGGAGTTAGAAGTCAGGATACTGTTTACCCTCAGGGGCATGAGTAACAACTGGAAAGGGAGCACTAAGGGGCATTTGTGAAGCTGGCAATGTTCTATTTCTCAATTTAGGTGTTGTGTAGGTAAGTGTTGTACACTTTCTGAAAATTCATCAGGAATTACATTTAGGACTTGTGTATCTTTATGTCTTTATATTATACTCTGATAAAAAGTTTTAAAATTTCAGAATATTTTTGAAAACAGGTTTTCAGGTTTTTTTTAAAGATCTTATTTATTTGACAGAGAGCATGAGCTGGGAGGAGGGGTAGAGGGAGAGGGAGAAACAGGCTCCTGCTTAGCAAGGAGCCCGATGCAGGGCTCAATCCCAGGATCCTGGGATCATGACCTGAACTGAAGGCAGTCGCTTAACCGACTGAGCCACCCAGGCGCCCGAAAACAGGTGTTTTTTTTTTAAAGATTCTATCTATCCATCCAAGAGAGAGAGCAGGAGAGGGGAGAGGGTCAGAGGGAGAAGCAGACTCCCCGCCGAGCAGGGAGCCCGATGCGGGACTCGATCCCGGGACTCCAGGATCATGACCCGAGCCGAAGGCAGTCGCCCAACCAACTGAGCCACCCAGGCGCCCCGAAAACAGGTTTTTAAGTCCTAAAAATATTTCTCCTTTTTTTTTTTTTTGGTCATTTCTTTTCAATTCTGTAGTTATCACCCTATTTCTATTTTTCAATCTTTTTTTCCTAGTAGCGAGCCATTGCTTGCCCACACCAAACTTTATGCAAAGTAGAAGTGACTGACTCCTTTTCAAGGCACCTTTATTTCCTGTTGTCAGAAATTGAGCTGATTTTGTAATAACGAGGCACTTTACTGCCATCTACTGGTAAATTGTCACAATAAAGTTATTATTTTTTAAGATTTTATTTTATTTTTATTTTTTATTTTTTTAAAAGATTTTATTTATTTATTTGACAGAGACACAGCGAGAGAGGGAACACAAGCAGGGGAAGTGGGAGAGGGGGAAGCAGGCCTCCTGCCAAGCAGGGAGCCCGACTCGGAGCTCTATCCCAGAACCCTGGGATCATGACCTGAGCTGAAGGCAGACCCTTAACGACTGAGCCATCCAGGCGCCCCAAGTTTTTTTTTTTTTAATTGTGGTAAAATATATAATTAATTTCACCATTTTAACTATTTTTAAGTGTACAGACCTGTGGCATTAGGTACATTCATTGTGGTGCAACCATCACCACCATCCATCTCCAGAACTCTTTCATCTTCCCCAACTGAAATTCTGTACCCATTAAACAATAACTCTCCATTTCTCCTTCCTGCTAGCCCATGGCATTTCTACTTTCTATTCTATTCTTTCAATTCCACAGTATTCTACTTTCTGACTCTATGAATTTGACTATCTAGAAACCTCCTATAAGAGGAATCATATATTTTTCCTTTTGTGACTGGTTTATTTCACCTAGCAAAAGTCTTCAAGGTTCATCCATGTTGTAGCATGTGTCAAAATTCCCTTCCTTTTTAAGGCTGAATGATATTCCATTGTATGTTGTGAATACCACATTTTGTTTATCACTCATCTGATAGACATTTGGGTTGCTTTTACCTTTTGGCTCTGGTGAATAATGCTGCTATGAACATGAGTGTACAACAACTGCTCAGGTCCCTGCTTCTACTTTTTGGGGGGTAAAAATCCAGAAGTGGAATTGCGGCATCAATGGTAATTCTATGTTTAACTTTTGAGGAACCTCCAAATTGTTTTCCACAGCTGCTGCATCATTTACACTCACACCAGCAATGCATAAGTGTTCCAATTTCTCCATATCCTCACCAACACTTGAAATTTTCTGGTGTGTGTGTTTGTGTGTGTTTTCTTTTATAATGGCCATCCTAATGGGTGTAAAATGGTCTCATTGTGGTTTTGATTTGCCTTACCCTAATGACTAGTGATATGGAACGTCTTTTCACATGCTTATGGGCCATTTGTATGTCTTCTTTGGAGAAATGTCTATTCAAGTCCTTGGCCCATTTTTAAATAGGATTTTTGTTGATGTTGTTGAGTTTCTAGAATCTTTCAGAGCTTTCTTACCCCTAGAAATTTTTGTGAGACTTGGAGGTTTGTGGATGATGTCATCTCAGTCTCTGGGCTGGCTTCTGGCGGGAACTTTGTCTAACTAGTTTCTCATTCAGTCTTTCAGATTAATTCATTAATCAAGTAACTAATTTTATCATTATCCAAAGAGTCATTCTGTGGCTATGTCAGATTTATAGGCTAACATGAAAGAATATATGTGTATATGCTTATATGAAATTCAAGAATTGTCAAACTTGATCTAAGGTGCTAGAAGTCAAAATAGTGGTGCCTCTGGGAGAGCAAGTATTGACTGGGAGGGGACATATAGGAGGAGATAAAAGGGAACTTTCTGGGTTAATAGTTCTATAACTTGATCAGGGTGGTGGCAACACAAGAACACTGGTAAAAATTTATTATGCATATACTTAAGATGTTTGCATTTTGCTGTATGCAAATTATACCTCACTTTTTAAAAATTGAAAGAAAAAGCTTAACCCCCCCCCCCCAGGACCTCGTAAGTCCTTTTGGTGTTAATTTCCTAGGCT